CGAGCCCTAATGGATTGGTTTAATATACAGGCCGTGGTGTTCCCTTCTTCCTCAACCCGCTGTTATGAGAGCTGGGTTGAGTGGAGGGGGGGGGGTTGGTGGGGGGGCATGGTTGTTGATTGTGGTATCGGGTGTTGGGAAGGAGGAGGTGGGTGGGTGGGGGTGTTTTTTGGGCCCATGGTTTCACGTGAGATGGGATCGCCTGTGGATTTGAGCGAAACGCGAGTTCATTCCGTGGCGTTAAAAAAAATATATAACAGCCGCAGCAGTGGCGCCTTTGTCTTGTGTGTGATGCTGTATGTGTGTGATTCTCTCTGCGTGATACTGTGTGTGTGATACTGTGTGTGTGTGATACTGTCTGTGTGATACTGTGTGTGTGTGATACTGTGTATGTGTGTGTGATACTGTCTGTGTGTGATACTTTCTGTGTGCGTGATACTGTCTGTGTGTGATACTGTGTGTGTGATACTGTGTGTGTGATACTGTGTATGTGTGTGTGATACTGTGTGTGTGTGTGTGATACTGTCTGTGTGTGATACTTTCTGTGTGCGTGATACTGTCTGTGTGTGATACTGTGTGTGTGATACTATGTGTGTGATACTGTGTATGTGTGTGTGATACTGTGTGTGTGTGTGATACTGTGTGTGTGGGAGTGTGTGTGTGTGTGAGGAGCGGTGGTGTAGCGGTTAGCGCTACGCTGCGCTACGAACCTGGCGACCCGGGTTCGATTCCCGCGGACGGCCAACACCAGTGATGGATTATCTGAACCGGTCCTGGGCCTCCCCTAGGTCGACTCGATCTCAAATGAGTACCCGGTGCGATGTGTAAACATCGCCACTGGGGAGACATAGGCGGCCGGGTGTGGTGCCTGCCACCCACCCCGTGTGTCATGCCGGCGTTCACAATACGTCTCGCTAAACGGCACTTGACCAAATGGTCTGTCAAGGCTCTACCGGCGATCTTTGTCTTTGTTTGGTCTTCTGTGAGCGGTGGCGCAGTGGTTAGCGTCTATACTGCGCTGCGTACCCCAGCGAACTCCAGTTGAATCCCCGCTCAAAGATCATCTGAACCGTTCCTGGGCCACAGTTGGGACGGTGCGTAAACATGAGCAACTGGGGAGACAAAGACGGCCGGGGCGTGGTGTCGGCCACATCACAACCACGTGACGGCCTTCATTCGCACTTGCCCCCAGCACTGTGTTCGCGATACACGGGGGAGCTTTGTCTTTGCTTGCGACACGTGGATGGCCTTGCAGCCAGCCGCAGGGACACCTTTGCTGGCTTTACGCATTCAGACTGACCTGTCTGCACTGCCGGATTATCCCCGTAGCAAAAGTAGCTACAAATGTAGCTATGAGCCCCGCACTTTCAAGGGCCCCGCGCTATAAATGTTTTCAAGCTCTCAATTCCGGTTCGGTGATTCCGCACTTGCTCTATTGCTATAGTACTATATCGCCTTCAAATTTTACGAACGACTGGGTGTTTAAGGGTTAGCGATTTGTCGTATTATCTGGCTGTACAGCAAATGAAAAAAAACTCCAATTACTTTACTATGCAAGTAAAAAATGCGTATTTTAATATGTATGTTTTTGATGTTGAATTTAGGGCCCCTTTATAGCATATCCCACAGGCCTCGCACTCGCATCATCCGGCACTGCCTGCCTGAAGATCCATCCCTGGAGTGAAATGTGCGCAGAGCTCGCAGATCCACCGCGAGGCGAGGTCGCGATGTCTGTGTCACGCAGCCTACCCGCCTCCGTGCCCATCTTCGTCTCCCCCACCCCACCCCCCACCCCCATTGTCATTATCTCAGCGCTCGTTCGAGCCCATTCCTCGTTCAGACCGAACACGCGAGACGTCTTGGCTCCGGAAACTCACAACGCCGATGACATCGCACGGAACCGTTCACCGCGGTTGGGTTTGTCTCGCTGTCTCCGCTGTTGCCATCAACTCGCACGCGCGGGGAGTCTCGGGGCAATAGTGGAGTGACAGGGACGGCCTCTCTTTAAAATGGTTGCGACCGCGACATACGATGGCGATGTATCCACCGCTCATCTCGTGCGCTATTTATGTTCTCCGCAACTACGCTAATGATTGATAATTGTTTTTTTACCCTTCTATCTGGCAACAAAACTGACACCTTTTTAAAAGGAGTCATGTTTGCATAGACCGCAATACCTGCAGTCATAATACAAACAAAAGAGATAACTCTGATAATGTATGCACTGTCCTTGAAGTTGATTGGTCCACACCCGAGACAGCTTTACTTAGAGCCTAGCCTCACATGGGTTGGACCAGATGACGCCAAAAGGCGCACAACTCAAAGACAATGCACCATCAGAGTATGAGAGCTCGGGGCAAGCATCTACACTATGGGAAGGGTAAAAAAACAATTATCATATTTTTACTGGCAAATGAGGTTCCCATAGTACGCTAATGATTCTTTTTGAGTTTCTTCACCTGAGGACGGCTGCTTGCGTTGTGGCCGAAACGTCGTGAGAATTATTTTATTATGTTTTATTTTTATTATTTTATTATTTTCCTTCTACGTGACTTTACCGAAAGAACCAAGAAGATGAATCCCTGCAGTCACGAAAGCTTGAAATCGAAATATAGAATTTGTCCCCAATCGAGACTGCATCCGGCTAGGAAGCCCACGTCTTTAAGAGAGCGGGTTTAACACGTTGCGGCAGGCTTTCGTGACCAAGCACTGGTCAAGAAAGCCTACTAATATCATCCATAATAGTGGGTGTCTTTGGGGGGTTAGATCGCGTAAATATATAAATGTGTCGTTAAACCCGCCACCACCCGACACAGCCAACTAGTAAGGGTTGTCACGTGAACAGAACGTGGCCAATTCGTTACTGGCACGGCAACACCGGTGTGTTGGAGAGCCAAGCCACAACATTTACAATCTGAGTGTACGACGTTTCGCCAGTAATTACAACTAGCTTCATCAGGCGACAGCCAGATTTGTGGAGAAGTCCACCTGCATCGTTCCTTATATCGAGGCGTAGATGTGGTGACCACGCTTGTGCGCTGGAAAAAAGAACGGACACTGTAAACGTGATAACAGATGTATTTTAATAGATTCAAAAAGTTAAAGAGGCTCCCACTTGTTCGCCGTCATTGTCAACAGCATTCCTGGAATCTTCCCCAGGTGGTCTCCAGAGCCCGGGAGAAACATTTCTCGTGGCGTTGTTGCAAATTCTCAGAAGTGTTCAACACTTTTTTTGAAGCACACTGTATTTTGTAGCGACTACTTTAATACTGGTAGGAACCACCTGGTTCCACCAGCCCACAGGGGATTATTGTGTCCGTCCGTCGTACATCCAAAAAGGGGAGCGGTGGGGGTGGGTGGAGAGGGGAGGGTGGGGAGGGGCTGCGGAGGGGCTGGGTGGGGAGGGTGGGGAGGGGCTGGGTGGGGAGGGGCTGGTCACCCCGTGGTGCCCTTATAAAACTCAACGTTTAGCCTACTCACGCCGGCTTGTGCCCGCCCTCACAGTCGGCCATATTTGCGGAATACACCACGCCACCGTTGACCCTGGCCATTGACCGAGCAACCCAACGTTCCTACCAGCTCCCTCCGCAAGAATGTGTTTAAATGTTTTTTGAAATGTGTCGTGAAGAATCTACAGGGTTTTTAAAAAAATTGTTGACACTTATACGGGACTATCGTTTTTAATGGAAAACGAACGGATAATATATACACTGTAATGTGATAACAAACGTATGGTAATAGCTTCTTAAAGTCAAAGTCTCCCACTTGTTTGCCATTATTTGCAACATGTGGCCTGGATTTTTCTCCGGGTGGTCTCAACACTTGTTTTGAAGCACCCTGTACATTATGTAGCGAATACTTTTTATTTATTTTTTTGAAATGTGGCGTGAAGGCTGTACAAATGAGACACATTTTCGTTCGTGTTTTCTCCACCTCGTGACTGAGCTGGTCTCGAGACGCCGAATCGAGCGACTCGGCACCCTCTGAGGGTGGTGGGATCGGTGGTGGGGGGGGGGGGCAGTGCCGGATTTAGCTAAGTGCGAGGCCTGCAGCATATGTTATTAAGGGGCCCTAAATTCAACAAAAAACACTTAAATATTAAAAGAATTTTTTTTAATTGCATAGGAATGTAATTGTAGTTTTTTTCATTTGCTGTACAGCCAGACAATACGACAAATCATTAGCCTTAAACACCCAGTCGTTCGTAAAAGTTGAAGGCGGTATAGTACTATAGTAATTAGAGCAAGTGCAGAATCACTGAACTGGAATTGATAGCTTGAAAGCATTGAGCGCGGGGCCCTTGAAAGTGATGTGCCTTAGCTACTACACATGTAGCTACTTTTGTTACCAAGGCTAATCCGGCACGGGGGGTGGGGTGGGTGTAAGACTCTGAAGAGGAATCAAGAAGGCCCATGGATATCAGTTGTTCACGATCGACTGATGTAATGTGCCACGGCTCTACTCGCGTTGCCTCCTCCGCGCTAACGGAGTGAGCGACAGCCGCACATGCGAGGCCAGGCATCACCCCGGGGGTCTAGTGCGTTGTTAAAATGTGACGTCATGATCATGATCACGTGAACTTTGTCATCACCATCAGCAGTGAAGATCCACCCCCCCGCGCCTGCCATCCCCTTCTCCGTCAGCGTCTCTCACCATGCTGCGATGTTGATAACCCACCAGGCGCCGTGCTGAGTTCATCGCTCCGTGTGTTGTGTGAATCAGTGCTGTGCGTGAGGTGGGCAGGTAGGTGAGTGAGGTGGGCTGGTAGGTGAGTGAGGTGGGCTGGTAGGTGAGTGGGGTGGGCTGGTAGGTGAGTGGGGTGGGCTGGTAGGTGAGTGAGGTGGGCTGGTAGGTGAGAGGGGTGGGCTGGTAGGTGAGTGAGGTGGGGAGGTAGGTGAGTGGGGTGGGCTGGTAGGTGAGTGAGGTGGACAGGTAGGTGAATGAGCATGGGTGAGTCATCCGAGTACTTCACCAAACACAGAATGGAAAGAGCCACGGTGGAATTTCACAACAGCATATTCATTACATATTACACCATCATATATTATAATAATTCACACTCATACAAATGTGTATAGCAATAGCCCTCTATAACGGTTATGACCTGCGCCGTTAATGTAACGATTGTACACGTAAGAATATGAATAACAATATTAGCTGTAGTAGTAGTAGTAACAATTATAATCGTAAGTGATAATATCGGTAATAATTCTCGTAAACATTAGTCATGGGTCTCGTGGTGTGGGTGTCCGGGCACACGTGACACGCACAGAGACGCCGTAACGACCGGGCTCCTCCACAGGCGGGCGGCACAGAAACATCGCTGGCAGTACAAGATAAAAACGAAGCAAAATAAAACCATACTCTTTGGTTCTGTCGGTAAAGTCACGTAGGTGACAAAAAAATAAAATAAAAATAAATTAGAATTAAAAAAATTTAATGAATCATTTTGTATTTTACATTTTTGTTCCACCTCGGTGACTTTAAAAAATAAAGAAAAAGTAAAACAATTATTTTTATTTTTTCACCTCCGTGACTTTAAATAAGAAAGAAAAAAGTAAAACAATTATTTTTATTTTTTCACCCACGTGACTTTACCGAACGAACCAAAGAGTATGGATCCTTGCAGTCACGAAAACTTCAAATCCAGAACAAAATAAAACCCTCAAAAATCTGATTTTTGATACTTCCGAATAATGTCCAACGCTGTAATAACGTGGTAGCGCGTTCTACCAATGATATGAATGCCCAAATGATTTGGGGGCCACTTTGTTGAGCTATCGCTTCTGAAAAGTTAATACTCAAGCGTGGGCTCTGCCTGGTAGGATGGAGATGGCTTAGTGTTGTATTTGTTTGTGTTGGGGTGATGTGTTTACCTTTCTTGTACTTTGCATTGCTGACATGTTTTTTGTAACTGCTTGTTGTTGAAACGTTCTTACATCTGTGAAAAAGAGCTTTACTGCTCATCGGATTCCTCCGAGTGACGTCACTCGACACCACCCCCTCCCCACCTCTCCCCGCCCACGTGACTCCACTTCAATGGCGAGAAAGGGGCGTGACGGCCGATGACGTCAACGCACGTGGCGTCACAATCTCGGATGAAATCCCAAAGGAAAAGCGAAGATCGTCCCGAAATTTCACACGCAGGCCAGATTCTTTTCGGAGAAACTTTGTTTCTTTTTTTGTCGGGTTAATGGTCTGAAGATTGAGAACACTCATCCCCTCCCAGTTTGAAGCTTCGCCAGTGGGAATTGTAAATAGATATGTAGATTAAATCGCAATCTCGTATTGCTCGTAAGCCAGCAACTACACGTCTGAAGTTCGACAGCGATTCGAGTCTCGCGCAAATTACAAGATATTATTCGGAATATAAGACGCACTCGCCCTCCTGTATTTGGAAACAAACGTTGAGGAGGGTGGCGGGGGGGGGGTGAAGGTGCGTCTTATAATACGGTAGCCGTGTGTGTGCGGCCTTTCATAGGGTTGCTACTCGTTAACAGCACTTGCCCCAACAGTCTGCTAAGGCTATACGGGAGGGGGGGGGGGTCTTTTGTCTTTGTGTGCGTCTTTTCGGAGCGTCCAATAACCCAGGGAATACGGAATCGAGTGCGACCCTAAGGCCGATAGAAAGCGCGCTGCCAGTTACCAATAATCTTATTTTTGTAGTTTTAGAAAGTAACTCATGACGTTGCTATTCCGCTACCGATTGTGACTTTGAAGTTTTTTGTTTTTTTAAACCATTGACGAAGCTTCAACAGGGTAAGAGTTGGGCTTGGTTATTTTTCTTTTTAACACGTAGGCATTCGCGACTAATATTATTCATAATATAGGTTTTCGGGCCAGATCGCGATTGAATTAAATGATGACGTCACCCTGATGCTTTCTCTATTTAAGACCGGAAGCAACAGGAGAGCTTCACCATTCTTGCCCGATGAAACTGATTGTAATTATCAGCGAAACGTCGTACTACTCAAATTTTAAAATGCTGTCGATTCTCTCTTCAACACACCGGTGGGCTAAAGAAGTGAATTATTTTGTCCTTTGAAAAACGTGACACATTTTTTACTGTTTGGTCGTGTCGGGTGGTGGAGGGTTACGACACATTTATAAATAACGCGATCTGACCCAAACACCTTTATTATTAATCTTTTTGTTTTGTTTGAATCTTCCTTTCTGTCGTGGCCAGGGCTCAATTTCATCCCGGAACAATCCGGAACGCTGTTCCGTGAATTACTTTGGCATCCTGCCCACGCCCACCCACCATTACTTATCCTCATCATGTTTTAGTTTCTAGTCCTCGTAATGATTTTACGAATGTCGGGTGCAATGCTGGAGGAGGATTGTTCTGGAGAGGCGTATGTTGGCACTCTAGTGGTAGTGCCTTACGCCGGCAATCGCTTTTACTCCAAGCCAGCCGCTAAATCAGCGTTCCCGGAAAAAAGTTGAGTGACAAATGAAGCCTCGGCTCTTACATTTGGTGACTCTCGGTGCTGAAGCATCATCATCAACATCATCATCATCAACAACATGATCATCAACAACAAAATAAATAAAGTTTGCAGTAAACACGCCCGGGACACGTGGGACATGACGAGTTGACCACCGACTGCGCGTCATTTGCCGAGGCCACAAAAAAAACCACACAAGACGAAGCGAGGGATTTGGTCACGAGTGGCCGGTCAACCAATGGGAGCGCGAATCTCCTTTAGCCCTAACTCCCGATCCGTAACCGCAACCCTGAAGACTGGAAGGCTGTGGCACTCCCTGGGGGCCACCCCCCCATGCCCCCCCCCCGTAAGCGTTGGCAGATGGCGCAGAGTCGCAGAGTCTCGGTGGGAATCCCCGGGCGAATATGCGGTGATTCCCCCCCCAATGGAAGGGAAGGCTTTCTTCCTCACTGATCCCTCAGCCTCGGCACCGAAACTCCGGCCCCAATTCTGAAATTCTGAACTATGGCCTCCTATTCACCCTGGTCTCTCTCACTCACCTTGGCCTCTCAGCCATAACCCGAACTAACCCTCATCCTTAACCCGAATGCGAACCCTAAGCATAACCCACCCCCCACCAACCGTAACTTTTAACATTCACCATAACCTTAGCCCTAAGCCTAATCTTAACCAATCTGCTAAACTTAGCCGTCACCCAGTCGCTAGCCCTAACCCTAACGCTATCCATAACCATTGTCCCAATGTCAGACATATCTTAAACGCTAGCCCTAACGCTAGCCCTAAACATTGTCCCAATGTTAGACCTAACATGAACGCTAGCCCTAACCCTAACGCTATCCATAGCCATTGTCCCAATGTCAGACATATCCTGAACGCTAGCCCTAACCCTAACGCTAGCCCTGACCATTAACCCAATGTTAGACCTATCCTGAATGCTAGCCCTAACCCTAACGCTAGCCCTAAACATTAACCCAATGTTAGACCTAGCCTGAACGCTATTCCCTAACACTGAACGCTAAACCACTACCCTATCCCCAACCTCACCGTAACCCTTGTGCCCAGCCCTCCTCGCCCTCGTGCTGTCTCTCATCCTCACCCTGACCCAGGTCACTCGTTTGCAAAAAAACGCCACTCCACCCTTGGCCTCTTCATTTCTCACCCTGGGTGACTTAGCCACAGCATCGACCGCGGTCGATCAACTGCTGGATGAAACGGCCTGCCGCCTCCTAACGATCATGGCGGGTGTCTTTTTTCATCCGTCGGCCACCGGCGCGCTCGCTCATTGCGTCGCCATCACCGTCATCATCATCACCGTCATCATCATCACTGTCATCATCGTCATCATCACCGTCGTCATCGTCATCATCATCACCGTCATCATCATCACTGTCATCATCACCGTCGTCATCATTACCATGACCGCGACACTGATATTCGATCTGGTGAAATGTAAACAAACCCAAATAAATTCAACACATTTGGCAATCGCGCCGCGCGCGCGCACGTGTGTGGCTTTAAAAGTAAACGTTTAAAACGGGCGACGTTTCGGGCGATGGCCCTTTTCTCCACGGCAAATGGCCCTTTCGTCGTGACACAAGACGGGGCATTGCCCGAAACGTCAATCGTTGTGTGTTTTACCCTATGAGGGCGAGGTGAACTGTACGCATGTTGGGATTGTCAATCAACAACCAACAGCAGCAGCAGCTCGAGGAAGATCCAGGACGAGACAAAGCGATTTGTACTCCAGCGAGCGTTCAGCCTCCTTACAGCCCTGAGCCGGTCATCACATGTCCACATTCCTATGACGGGTACGAGTCCATCCATCGGGAAATACCTGGTGACTTCCCGACAAAGCGGTGCTCGTTTTATCCCCCCCCCCCCCGAAGCGATGATGGGCTGAGTCAACAACTCACCGCCCAACCAGGATTTGACCTCGAACGCATCAGATTGCGAGCCGCTCACTCTACCGCTGACTCACTGGCCGGTTAAGAACAGCAACAACAACAACAACAACAACCTGCAACAGCAACAAACAACGTATAAACTTACATTTCCGCAAAATATCAAGGTGACAATCTTAATTTGAAGCTTGCGTGACTGCAGGAATCCATACTGTTTGGTTCTTTCGGTAAAGTCACGTCGGTGCGAAATAAAATCAATCACGACGTTTCGGGCGCAACGCCCAAGCGTCCGTCATCGGGTGAGACGTGTTTCATTTTATTTCACACCCACGTGACTTTACCGAAAGAACCAAAGAGTATCAAGGTGACATCTTTGTTGTGTTGTCGCAACTGGCGTCGTGACGATCAAAACGCAGCTCCGGCAAATGAAAGAATTAAAAACCTTGCAGCGCGCTGCACCGTCAAACCCGCTTCTGCCCGCAAGTGGGTGGGGGGGGGGGCGTGTTCCCCGGTGTTGACCGAGAGCCTCACTCAGTCAACAAAAAAACGTCTCGCATTGACCTGGTCCCGACGGCGTGAATCAGTCCTCTCGTCCGCTTTGGAAGAGATAGATTCAGTGGAGGGAAGGAGGAGGAGGGGGAGTAGGAGGGTGTGGGGTTGGAGGAGTGCTTGGGTGGGTGGGGGGAAGAGGAGGGAGTGAAACAGGAGGCGAAATCTATTCTCGATTCGGTCCCTTTCAGCTAAACGCCACACAAAGAGAAGACCAAGCACGGCTCTTCTCTGTTGTAGCTACGCTCCCTTTGACTGGCTCTTTCGGCTCAGACACGTGACCTGAATTGTGACGTCACTCGCGCGTCACGACGACTCTCCGGCCGTGGGACGCGTCTGCGTGCTTGTGCGGCGGTGGTTTGTGTCTTTTGCTTTGCTGCGTTTCAAACGAGTCGAGCGTTTGGTGCGCCCGCGAGCCCGGCACACGCCGTCAAGGGCCGCAGCTGCGAGCGCCGTTGCGCTTTGCGATCGTCGCGTAGACGAGGTCACGTCGCGTGATCGTCGCCTCGAAACGACTGGGCGATGACGACGACGACGATGAGTTCCGCACGGCATTGTGGGAGCGAGGCGTAGGAGGAAGAGAGAGAGGGTGGGTGGGTGGGGGGATGAGGGTGAGGAATACTTCCAGCAGCAACGACTCGTCGATATAATCGAAAGGTTGTAATCGACTTCAATGTTTTCATTTGGTTTCACTGAGAGGCTTCGTAATCGTCACGATCTCGATGCTCGCTTTGGCAGTCGTTTGCAACCGGCTAACGGCTTGCTGATGAGCGATCGTACCGGTTCAAGGCAGAGATTGGGGGGGAGGGGGAGGGGGGCGCGGGGGACGGGGGGGGGTGTTCCTTTACCCAGGATGCCGTGCGGTCTGAGTTTTATTTCACCTCTTAGCTGGGTCCACACACGAGCGATCGATCGATCCACGCAACAAAAACATCTCTCTCGAAAATCGCCTGCGACGGCTTTGCCCACGCCTGAGCAACTGGTTGCGCAACAAGGGCGTGGCTGGGAGGGGGGGCGTGGTTAACGTTCGTGGCCACGCCTTCTACAACATAGCTCCGCCCCTTTCCTCGTTAGCTCCACCCCCCACCCACCCACCCACTCACCCACACTAGCCACTGTGCATGATGTTGAAATGCTGCAAATCCCAGTGCAGATCGACGTTCGAAAGTGTGCGGAGTCTGCCTCCTCGACTGTGAGCCAACCGGTTGCGCAACTCCTCGCAACCGGTTGCGGCGTCGTCAACATATAAGCGGTTCGGTTGCATGCAACCAAGCCTGCGCAACCGATCGGATCCTAAACGCCCATGCATTGCAAGAAGGTTAACGCATTGCTGGATACACTGTCGCCTTAAAAAGGGAGATAGAAGATAAACATTGAATCGGCGACGTTTCTGGCAATGACCCTTCTCGTGCACGTGCTATGAAGGGCCACTGCCCGAAACGTCGCCTGTAATATTTATTTATTTCCCGTTTAAGGCCACAGCCTGATAGAGGAACGTGTTGAAGTCTTTTCTTTTCCCATTAACCGTGCTTGTGCACCACTGCCAACGCAGCAGCGGTGGCAGCAACATCACCAAATAATTTCGCTTACACTTGGGCAAGCCGCCACCGAGTAGACATCCGTGGAAGTTCCATCGCGATGGTCGCAATGGAAGTGGCGGGAGGTGTGTGGGGGAGGGTATTGTTTGGGCAGCACCCGCGGATTTCCACACAGCGGTGAAGCTATTTTGACAACAGGCGAATGGGGGGGGGGGGGGGTTATTTATGACGCGACTCGACAGCGCTCGGGTGTGGACCGCCGCCCTCAGTGCGGCGAGTCGAGCGACGTTTAAATAAGTACACCCCTCTACTTACGAACACTCGACTTACGAACTTTCAGAGATACGAACAGACCTGGTCCCTCATGTCAAGTTGTCTGTTCGGACCGAGAGTCGTTAGTTCAACCGCCGCGCAATAGACGGCGGTGGTGGCATCTACATCTGCGGAACGTGAAGAACCAGTGGCGTCTACATCTACGGGAGATAATACAACTTTGAAAGCCATTCCCCATATTTAGTGTACACGCCGTAGAACGTGTTTGGATTCGACGGGAGTAAAGTTGGACTTACGAAACAAATCGACTTACGAACAGACCTCTGCAAATCTAACTCGTTCGTAAGTCGAGGAGTCCCGGAATGTCGTTAGAACGTTGTACGGACTACGTACCATCTCCTCGACAAGTGGAATCGACGGGAGTAAAGTTGGACCTACGAAACAAATCGACTTACGAACGGACCTCTAGAACCTAACTCGTTCGTAAGTCGAGGAGTCCCTGTATGTTGTTATAACGTTGTACGGTATACGTGCCAGCTCCTCAACAAGTGGAATCGACGGGAGTAAAGTTGGACCTACGGAACAAATCGACTTACGAACAGACCTCTGCAAATCTAACTCGTTCGCAAGTAGAGGAGCCCCTGTACCTGCGAGGGGGGTGGAGGTGTTTTTTCCTTGTTTTTTTGTAAATCGGCGTTCCTTGCCAACAGCAGACGGCCTCTTTGCTTCCGAACGGAACCGCGGTTCAGAACCACAAACTGTAAACGTAGGTCGCTGAGCACATCAGCCACGCGGCGCGTGCAAGTCGACCGACCGCACGCCACGACATCGATGGATAACTGAGCCGGCAAACTCTACTACAAGTCCACGTGATAAATCGGCGCACATTAGGTCCGACATTGTATCTCAGAGAGGGCCGACGTACATTAAGGTCAACGTATGCTATAATTCGACGCATATTAAGTCTACTTAGAACTCGACGTACGGTTTTCTATAAGTCGACGTTAAGCCCGGTGAGACATACAGATTTCTTAAGTCGGTACATTTCCTAAGTGGTCGAGACATCGTGTTTTCCTCTCTCTCTCACTCACTCTCTAACTCGACACCCACCTCCTAAAAGGTCGACGCGCTGTGCCCACGTTAAGTACGGGCTATTATTTAGTAATAGACACATCGTAGTCAAACCGAAAGACGACAACGAAGGCCTACCGTTGATAACAACACGGATATATGGCTGTGGTTACAAGACACAGTGTATAAATAACCGCACATTCTGTAAACACCACGTCACGGATCCTACGCGCACATTGTGCAAACGCGTCACAGGGTAGACATCCGCGGAAGCTCCGTCTATGGCGGCGAGGGTGATAGTGGAGGAAGGGGGGGGGGGGGAGTTGTGGAGCTTCCGTGGATTTCTACGCATCGTGAAGCTTTTTTTGTTTTGATACATGGCGATAGAGGCGAGTCGAGTTTATTTTTGACACGACTCGACAGCGCTTGGAAAACGAAGAGCATCGGCCTATGGCTATGTCACAGACACACACACACACGCGCGCGCGCACAGACACACAGGAAGAGATACACACACACGCACGCAGAGGTATACATGCACACGTACACAAGCACATAGGCACACAGTCAACACACACGCGCGCGCACGGGTGTACACACACACGCACGGAGATATACGTGCACACGTACGTACACACATGTTTTACAAACACGCGCAGAGGTACACGTTCACAGGTACACACAGAGATACAAAGACACGTACACAGCAACGCCCACGCAGATGGAGAAGACGAATAACCCTTTGTTTACTGCTGAGCAAAGTGTTGTTAGCGAGCACCTGTTAAGGCCCGGACGGCGCTAGAATGAATGGCGCGGCCAGCCCCACGCTCTGGCACCAGCGCGAATATCGTTACACCGCACCGGGGACTCTTTTGAAGGCTGAGCCGACCAAGTGGAAGCCCACGACTGGTTCAGATAACACTGGTCAACACACTTTTTCTGGCAAAAAGGTATTCCAACGGTTTCAATGTAATTTTGGGGTGCCGATTCCAAATCTGGAATCAGTTTTTGTCTATCACATCAGGTTTTTGAGATATCAAATATTGCATTTTCAATAAAAACTGCAGAAGAAAAATATTAAATGAATGTGGATATGTACATAAAATTATATTATAAACACACTATCCTCAAAATACAGCACCATATTTTCACACTAAAGCAGTCACTGACTCGCAACAACTTGCAATCATAAGTGACAGAGTTAATTTCGGGTAAAATCAATGAAAATGGGGAATGCCGATAGCATACAAATGAGATGTGATAGCGCAAATCTGAGATCAGATTTGGAATCAGTACCCTGAAATTAGTCTAAAACAGCTGCAAAAGTCCAGGCCAGAAAAAAAATGTTTTTTTTGTTGTTGACCAGTGTAATCGTCACCGGTGTTGGCCGTGAGCGGGAATCGTAAAACCCGGGCCGACGGATTCGTAGCGCGGCGTAGCGCTGAAACCGCCACACCACCGCTGCACAGGCAGCCGTACACAGGTACGCGCGCGCACTCCAAGCAGGGCCGGATTAAGGCGTGGTAGGGCTTGAGGGGAAGCAAGCCCAGGTGCCTCCGCCAGCTGGAAGGCCTCCAGAGATTAAGTGAAACGTTATCTCACTTGTGAATGCTGAATTCTGTTGTTGTTGTTGTTGGCCTTGTAAAGGTAAATTTTATTTTTCTTCAACTTTGTTTTCCTTTTGATAAGATTACTGGGGGCCTCACAGTACACTGTAGCCCAAGGGCCTATAACATCTTAGTTCGGCCCTGACTCCAACCACACACATTGACGCGTCCCCCGGCCATTCCTGTTGCTGTCCAAGGTGCTGAGCCGAGCCAGGCAGTCATGGACGTCAGCCGCACGAAACGTTTTGTAATTTGACCGCTGTGCGGCAGCGGTGGTGGCAGCGGTGGTGATTTTGGTGGCGGTGGTGATTGTGGCGGCGGTGGTGGTTGTGGTGGTTGTGGCGGCGGTGGTGGTTGTGGTGGTTGTGGTGGCGGTGGTGATTGTGGTGGCGGTGGTGGCGGTGGTGATTGTGGTGGCAGTGGTGGCAGTGGTGATTGTGGTGGCGGTGGTGGAGTTGGTGATTGCGTTGATGGTGGTGGCGGCAGTGGTGATTATGGTGATGGTGGTGGCGGTGGTGGCGGTGGTGGCGGCGGTGGTGGCGGTGTTGGTGGCGGTGGTGGCGGTGGTGGTTGTGGTGGCGGTGGTGGTGGTTGTGGTGGCAGTGGTGGCGGTGGTGATTGTGGTGGCGGTGGTGATTGTGGTGATGGTGGTGGCGGCGGTGGCGATGGTGTTGGCGGTGACATCACGTGGCCTGTGCCAGGGCTGAGCTCGGAGCGAAGTCGAGCGCAGAGGGCGAGGGATCACCGGTTGGAGACTGGGTAGGTTTAGAGGGCAGTTCGATTTTGGGATTGGCGTAGTGTAAAGGATATAGTCAGGAGTAGAGTTAGGGATTGGGTTATGACTCGGGATATGGGTGACGTTATGGTAAGAGGAAGCTTTCATGGTTACAGATTCGTTTACAGGAAGCATTAGGTCTAGGGGGTTAGGGTTTAGGGGTAGGCTATAGGTAACGGGGGTATGTCTCGGGTGTAATCCAATTTATGACTTCACTCCTGAAACCATTGTCACGCTGAGCTCCAATCGCACAGCGGATCATTTGTTTCCGGTCTTCGCTGTCGATGCGGCGCTACGTGACAGCCACTGACATCCGCCAAAGGGCCACAAGTGGAGAGACTCGCGGAGCGCAACCGGAGGGCCGGGGTACAGCTGACCACACACACGCACACTCACTCAGCAGCCGTGGGCCAAGGGCAGCCGAGAGGCTAAAGCACGGGAGGACGGTGGCTCGGACAGGCGCGCAGAGACGCAGACCCCGCGAGTGGCAGACAAACCCCCCGGAGAGAGGCACAGAGACAGATTGCTCGGAAGAGGCAATCGACATTGAGACACCCACACACGCGCGCACGCCCACGGGGACGAGACGTTCGGGTGAGCGAGCTGGACAGACGGCCGGTGATTGCGGACGCGTGAACAGACTGTCGGACACAAAAAAAAGAAAACTCGTGAACGGACAGCCGGACGGACAGACAGACAGACAAACGGACAGACATTTGGTCGATTAAACAGACAGATGGGCAGACCGAGCAGAGGACACGCGGACGCGCGCGCGCACGCGGAGACACCGCCCAGTCTCACACGGGCGTCGTCCTCCGATTCCCCGCCGTCCCAAACAGCGACTCTTTGAGCTCCAGCGGGAAGCAGCTGCCGGAGCCAAACACGGCCCCGGTCGCGTCGCGTTCACAGTCGAAGCTGCCTCCGACGCCGCCGCCGCTCCCGGTCGTTTCGTGCGGCGGGACCGACGCCGCCGCCGCCGCCGCCGCGTCGCCCGTGAGCGTGTAGAGCGAGATGCCAGCCGGCAGCTTGGGCGCCGCGAAGGGCGGCAGAGCGAGCGCCGAGGCGGCGCTCGACGCGGACGAACGCCGCCGCTGACGGAAGCGGTGGCTGGGCAGGCGGGCCAGGGCGGCGGCGCGCTTGGCGAGGAAGGCCGGGCGGCTGGCGCTGCGTGCCTGGCGGAGGGTGTCCACGTAGGTGTGCACGATGAGCACGCCGATGGTCTCGGCGACGATGAAGGAGAGGGCGCCGAAGTAGAAGGACCAGCCGTACGAGTAGCTGCTCTTCTTGGGGTCGCCCTTGCCCGGGTCGCCCGAGTTGCTCGAGATGTAGACGATGATGCCGATGATGTTGGCGAGACCCGCCGCCACGAACGAGATGCCCGCGCCCAGGATGAGGTTGTGCTTCGAGCGGTAGAACTCGCTGCCCGCCACGCACAGCCCGCCGCACAGGAGCAGCGTCACGCTCAGGATGGGGAAGGCGCTCGAGGAACGCATCATGCCTGGGGAGGGAAGGGGGGAGGGGGCGACACGGCGGGTGGTGTTGGTGCCCCGTGAGATGCGACGCTCACGGCAGACGAGCGGAGCGCCCGGAGGCTGAAACACAACAGCAAGCTGGCACTGTAGGGGGGGGCACAGGTGGTGCATCGGCCAGTCGTCTCAGTCAGTCGACCCGTGGCACCTGCTGGGTCTGTCCCGTGACCTCCTGCCAGCGGGCGTTCTACACTTCGCGTGGCCTAAAAATGTACCTAGCCTGGCACAAGCGCCGTTGTCATGTCACCGCCACTTAGTGGCGAATGGCGGTTGTTGTTGTTAGACGGAACATATTGGCTCAGGAATGGGGGGGGGGGGTGCAGTGCCGCTCGGTTTAAATAGCCCAGGGTCCCAAAGTGCCTAACGTCACACCCCGTCCCAACCATTCCGATGGCCAGCTGTAGTTTTCTGCTTTTTTCTTTTTTAGCCGAGGGGATCTCCTGGCGGCAGCTGTCCCTGTGCGGCGGCCCAGGGTGACGCAGCGTCGGCCCGCAAGTGGGCATTCGTCCGTCAGTCGGAGGACGATGTTATTGGTTATTCCAATCGATAAAATAATTCGTTCGTGAGCAAATTTCATCTTTGGCAAATGTAAACATCATTCTCAACGTGGAGGGAAGGGGAAAGAAAAAAAAGGTAAGTGCGCTTTAAGGAGGCACGACGCATCGTGGAGAGAATGAATGATGGCTCCTGTTCAAGAATAGCGATGGGAGGGGCTGCCACGCTTTGGAACACATTCTGCGAGCACCTCCGCCGAGGATTTGGATCGATAGCATTGGCTCGTGCGCCGGTGCTAGGTGGATTTAATTCCGTGACAGGATGGTGAGTGATGGCGACGGTTTTGGGAAGGCTCTCTTCCAGCAGTGGATTGATCATGGCTCGAGATGATGATGCTGATGATGCTGATGATGGATCTGTGGCGGGCGGGCGGCATGCGGGAGCGAGCGTGCGTGGCCTTACGCAGGAGGTACTCGGCCATGTCCTTATTGTCGTAGTCGTTCTCCTCCGGGAAGTGATCAATCTTCCTGCACACGCCCACGTTCGAACCTGCATAGCCGTCACCGCCAGCAGCAGCAGTAGCAGCAGCAGTAGCAGCAGCAGTAGCAGCAGCAGCAGCATCATCATTGCCATCCAAGTCATCATCATGAGTAGTATCATCATCATCATCATCATCACAGTCATAATCATTATCTGCATAATCATCAGCAGCAGCAGCATCATCATTGCCATCCAAGTCATCATCATGAGTAGTATCATCATCATCACAGTCATAATCATTATCTGCATAATCATCATCAGCAGCAGCATCATCATTGCCATCCAAGTCATCATCATGAGTAGCATCATCATTATCATCATCACAGTCATAATCATTATCTGCATAATCATCATCTGCATCCAATTCATCATCCTTACCATCCAAATCATCATCATGAGTATCCTATTCACAATCCCAGTCATAATCATCATCGACATCTAATTCATCATCATGATCTGCATCTAATTAATCGTCATCAACCACGTCATCATCATCATCATCATCCAAGTCGTCAAAGTCAGCATCATCATCGTTACGATACGAGTTATCATCATTGTTAAAGTTATTCAAGTACTAAAATAAATATATTCATCAATAACGCTGCCCTAAAAATAATATACTGTACAGTATATAAAATGGACGATGTTTCGGGTAATAACCCTTCTTCATAGCCAAGGGATGTCAATAGAGTAACACAACAACAAACACACGTAGAGTATTACTCTCTATCTCATTCATATGCCAAAACAAGAATCGCTTTTTATTATTCTAAACAGAATATGTACGAATGTGTTACATTGCTTACGTGCAGGGGACAGATAATGTGAAGGAGGTGCATGCTCTCTGCTTATTTATTTTTAAAACAATCACTATTATTGCCATTAACATTTGTAAAAGTGGCGCATTTCGTCCGTAGATCGCAACGCGATGGAGCGCAGCAAATAAAGAGAAACTGCAGGGGTACACGACCAGAACCAGGCAGGGGGGGGTAAAGACCAATTTAAAGAGATGAGTTGTACAAGACGACGCTTCAGTCGCTCTCACAACTCCGATTTGTGGCTTATTGACAATGGCAACGCGTCCCAACGTCTGGGAGCAGCGCAGTGGCAAAAGCCCTATCGCCGTTTTTTGTTTGTTGTATTTGTAACCGATATTCTTAGGTTTTTTCGGTAAAGTCACGTAGGTAAAACATTTTAATTAATAAAAGTAAAATAAAAATAAAATAAAAATCACGACGATTCGGAGGCAACACAAGCTTCCGTCTTCAGGTGAAACAGTCACATCACGATTGCCGTTTCAAGTAAATTAATACTTTAATTAATTTTAATTTAAAAAAATTACCTACGTGACTTTACCGAAAAAACCTAAGAATATGAATCCTTGCAGTCACGAAAGCTTCAAATCTAGAATTTGTAACCGATGTTAAACGCCTTGAGTGAAGGCGCTCTATAAATATATAAAACGTAAGATAAGGATCAGGAAGAGAAGATGTCAGGAACATCGTTGGAGTATATTTTGCGACTTATATCCGCAATGATTATGCTGCGTTATCTATTACTCTCTAGATCGTTATCATCATCATCATCTACTTTCAGTCATAGAGCCCGCAGTTGGCATGTATTCCTCGTGGCCGCGTGGAATTTTTTCCGGGTCTTCCCGTTTTGCCCTCCACATGCAGAATCAACACCACGCGTTTGGAGTATTCGGCTGATATATATTTCCACACGATGGTCAGCCACTTCGTTGAGCTATCATTTGCGTGATAGCCAAGTCGCTTCTCAAAAGAAAAAAAAACCTCCACAGCTCAGTGGGGCATTTACCTAGAAAAACAAGAAACCAATCACGCCGTCCGCGTGTCCACATTTGGCATCGCCGCCCGCGAGTGCCGTTCAGCACCCGGGACAGCGCCTCGCGCCGTTGGCTTCTGATGGGAGCGAATTCGCATGCGACATTTGGGTCCTCGAGAGGGTGACGTCACCAGCTATTACTATTTAAACGGCTTTTTATTTATTTATTTTAGCAGGTAAGGACCACTGAGCTATATTGACAATTTCTTTAGAAGATAGCTGGCTATATTTCGATTTAAAGCTTTCGTGACTGCAGGGATTCATCTTCTTGGTTCTTTCGTTAAAGTCACGTAGAATGGAAATAATAAAATAATAAAAATAAAACAATAAAATAATTCTCACGACGTTTCGGCCACAACGCAAGCAGCCGTCCTCAGGTGAAGAACAGGTCTGCTTGCGTTGTGGCCGAAACGTCGTGAAAATTATTTTATGTTTTATTTTTATTATTTTATTATTTCCATTCTACGTGACTTTACCGAAAGAACCAAGAAGATAGCTGGCTATCACAAATGATAGCTCAACGAAGTGGCTTATCGTGTGGCCATTTCTAGCAGCCAAATACTCTAAAACGCGTGACGTTGATTCGAAATGTGGAGGGGAAAACCCGGAGGACCCGGAGAACACGCAAACTCCAAATATACAGCAGCAGGCGTCTGGGTCGAGATCCAACCCACGACCTCCTGTATACCAGGCGAGATAGTTAACATCTCGCCAGCGTGGGACCCCTCTCGCCCAGCGCAAAGAAACGGCACCAAAGGGGTTTTAAACATTCTAATTTGAAGTCATGAGGCTCGTTAGGGTCAATGTCATTGTTGCCATCACGCCTAGCCACCGCTTCCTTCCTTCTGCACGATCGTTCACAGGCGGGTTTCAAAAGTCCACAACTTGACCTCCACAATCTGCTCGTTTGCAGTGTCTCCGTTGCGACCTTCACCTGGCCTCAACTCTTCCGACCACAATGGGCACGTCCTTGAAGGGCCGATCTTACAGTCTCGTCGCTGCATAGGGCCTTCGTAAGTCAGCGGTTCTCAGCTCGTGTGGTCCGTGCCACCCTGAAGTCACGTCAAAGCCTTTCAGGGGAGGTGGGGGAGGGGAGGGGCGGCGGTGGGATGGCTGCGGCATGGACACCGTGCAGGAGAAATGTCAAATGTTCGCGGGCAACGACAGCGCCGACGTTGCAGTCACGAAGCACGGGAATGCACAACACGAATGAAATGCCTCGATCACACCGCGCTCATCGGAGGCGTCTACTGCTGCCTTAGTCAAATGCGGTGGGGGCTGGAGGAAGGAGGGAGGGGGTGGGGGACTTGGGGACCAGTTTTATTGATTTGGGCTGGGTGGCGGGGGGCGCTATACCACACAATTAAAGAACCACAATGTCTTAGCTGTTCCCCCCCTCGGCCCCCTCGGATCTCGGGTTGCTACTTACCCGTCTCGGTAACCCGCACCGCCCCAACCGGTCCCGTCCCGAGTCCAACAAACCCCGCAGCAAATTTCGATTTAAAGCTTTCGTGACTGCAGGGATTCATCTTCTTGGTTCTTTCGGTAAAGTCACGTAGAATGGAAAAAATAAAATAATAAAAATAAAACATAATAAAATAATTCTCACGACGTTTCGGCCACAACGCAAGCGTCTGAATGTCTCCCCGACAGACCTGGTCTTCACCTGAGGACGGCTGCTTGCGTTGTGGCCGAAACGTCGTGAGAATTATTTTATTGTTTTATTTTATTATTTTATTATTTCCATTCTACGTGACTTTACCGAAAGAACCAAGAAGATAAACCCCGCAGCACTTTCCGTAACCCCTCCAAGTTTGCTGAGCCTTTAAGAATAGGCGTTTTACCCTTCACGGCAATAGAACAGGAGGTGCTAATATGTTAAAAGCACCAAACTCGAACTTTTTGCAAGGAATCATGTCTGTATTAACCACACGTACTTGTGGTGAACATGGGGGGGAGGGGGAGGGGGTGGCGGATTGGCCAAATATTTACGTGGAATAGAAATCAGGCTTGAGATTAAGTGAGGCTTAAATTAGGCTTTCATCATCATCAAGGCGATACTGATATTGTTTTAAGAGAAGCCTGCTTCACACCGAGCTTATCCTACATAACAGAAACTCAAGGCAACTCATCTTCTTGGTTCTTTCGGTAAAGTCACGTAGAAGGGAAATAATAAAATAATAAAAATAAAACATAATAAAATAATTCTCACGACGTTTCGGCCACAACGCAAGCAGCCGTCCTCAGGTGAAGAACATGTCTGTAGGAAAGACAGTGTCTGAATGACACTGTCTTTCCGACAGACCTGTTCTTCAGACGCTGTCTTTCCGACAGACCTGTTCTTCACCTGAGGACGGCTGCTTGCGTTGTGGCCGAAACGTCGTGAGAATTGTATTTTATTATGTTTTATTTTTATTATTTTATTATTTCCCTTCTACGTGACTTTACCGAAAGAACCAAGAAGTTGAATCCCTGCAGTCACGAAAGCTTTAAATCGAAATTCAAGGCAACTCGTCAATGACACTGCCCTATAAAAGGGGATATAATATAACGTGTGTAATAGGCGACGTTTCGGGCAGTGGCCCTTCTTCATGGGCCATAGGTCTTTCTCTCGGTGGCCGAGTGTTTGGCCCATGAGGCAGGGCCATTTTCCGAAACGTCGCCGAAAAAATATATACACATATTATATTCGTACTGAGAGTGAAGAGCATTTGGGGTAGAGGTCGTCCTTATGGTAGGGGGGTAGGGGTGGTGGGGTGTTTGGAGGGGGTGGGTGGGGGTTGTGGGGTGATATTGTGCATCGCCGAAACAAATGACATAACCCTAAAACTGCAACCTCCTCCTGACCTTTAACCTTCACCACCCCCCCCATCTCCACACTCGCGCCCCCACCACCACCACCACCCCCTCCATCCCTCTTCCACACCACGGCCCCCCTCCCCTCCCCCACCCACCGCCCATCTCTCGATCCCCGCGGGATCCCAGAACCGGTCCAGACCGCATCCGCGAGGCACACAAAGCGGCGTCACCGGCACGGGGACAGGCGCGCGGGTCGCGTGACGGAGGGCCGGCATGCAGAACCACGCATTGCGCGTGTGTGTGTGTGTGTGAGTGTGCCTGTGTGAGTGAGTGTGTGAGTGCGAGTGCGTGTGTGAGTGTGT